TATTTGGTCCTGAAATGATGTATGTATGAATGGAGGGAATAAATGACTTCTTAACGTGTTTCCCTGAAGAGGAGCCAGATTCTTGGCACTGTCTTTTCCATCTTAAGACAAAAAGTAAAGAGAATCTATATGTGTAAGACAACTGACCACTGTTGTAAAAATTCACATGTCATTGGAAATACAAAATAGAGGCTTTAACGGTTGATTCAGTCTTACCTTCTGTTTTTCCTTTCCTGCCTGCCCTGCCCCTGTGGTTGTGGTAGACATTCAGCTGCTGCATGGGTTTGTCATGTGGCCAGCCCCCCTGAATTTATGTTTCTCATATGGCCAAATAACTTCATCCCCGTGGCAATTTGCTTGAATAAAGAGCCTGGCGAATGCAGTCGAGCCTGGGGATACAGTGTGAAAATCGGCGGTTGCTTCGATGAGCGATTATGCAGTGAAACAGCTATCAGCTAGAGGAAGAGGCAGCCAGGCTTTCATAGCTGGATGAAAACCTTCATCCATGGAATTTCCTATGTAATATGAAGCTTCTGCAATATAGAGCACTTTTGATTACAAATGTGTGCGGTATTTAAAATTAGTGTTAGTTTTTACTGAAGGACAGTTTCATACTACTGCTGATCCAAAGCACTAACCTTTTTAGAATGATGTGCATAGCAATGAGATTAGGAAGCTTTTGTTAATTCCCTCAGCCTGGTATTCTGACTTGTGCTGGGTCTTTAGCCATGGTTGTAAATGGCTGACGCATAGAATTTATTTACCTTTTTGTTGGTCAAAGCTGTATTTGTATCTGGAACATTTTGTAGTAGGAATGTGGCCTAATGCACAGAAGAGAGTGGGTGGTTTTATGGGTTGCATCAGAAGCACTGCACTGTATCTTCTGGTGGGTATTGTGTGTGTTTTGTACGCAGGAGTAATGTTTGCTGCCTTATGCGAAATGTTGTACGTGTCTGAAAATGAGTCTGTGAATTGATAATGATCTTGCCCTGGAAAACTGGGAATAATGCAGTGACTTATAAACAGAGAGTTTTAGAGAAAATAAACCAACCACATACCAAAATCCTCCGAAATTAAGGCTTCCACACAGTTTCAATAATTTTTTTTTTTATAAAATTGCTGTGACATTTCATGAAAACATTTTCCAGTGCCATGTGTCTGGCTGTAGAGAATTATTTAGGTATTCACTGGCATATCTTTTATATGGCTTTAGAGATGGGGTAGGGGCTGCAAGTAAATGTAGTTCAGCTGTTGATTGCACGTCTTGCATTCTAGCATCTTTGTGCTTTGACGTGCCTGTTAGGACATAGCAGGAGTGATCACTCCATCCTTCAGAGCTGTGGTCCAGGCTGCCAGTCCTTCTCTTTCAATGATCTCCTTTGGCAGGTACATACGGGAGTTGAGAATTTCCCTCATTAAAAAGCTGCACGTGTCATAATACTGATGGGTCTAGAACAAAGCTAGCTACCTCTCTTGAGACTAGTGCTGTGTTTTTTTTAGCGCATTCTTTAAATTAAGAAGGTCATTTCTTTGTTTTCAGTGTCATCAGTTTAGACGGTATTTTGTGGCTCCATCATACATCTGTATATATTTAGAAAAATACAGTGGTATTTTGTAGCCATGGGAGACTTCTTGACTTCTTTGACAGGTTGCAGTAGTTCAATATTCGAACTGGCTGATCTCTCTAATTCCTCTTTCCCGATGGCCCTGTGAATCCTTGACAAACTCCAAAGATGTATTTTTAAAAACATAACTAGTGCAGTGCTGTCCAGGTCGCACCACCCCAAAATTACTACCCTTGCACTGCTTTTACTTGCTTGACCTGGAGATGGGTCATGTCAGGGCTCATCAGGTCAAAGGCAGAATCAGTTTATTTTTTGCCTTAATCTTAGGACCACAGATATCTACAGGAGAACCACATAGCCTTGGTTTAATATGCTGGCAGAAGTCTGTGTATTCTCCAGTGTTTATACTTCTGTTTGTGTAAATTCTTGATATTGAGGTAGGTTTTCTCAATCTCTGTCCTGTGTAGTACCTAATGTTAGGATGTGCTCATGATAAGGGCTCTTTAATGGTGTAGAAACATAAGTTAATAGGGATGCATCCTGCTTTGATCTCAGATTTCCATAAAATAATTCTTGTTTGGGGAATGGGCATGAGTCTGCTGTTACATTTCCCGATCTTCAGATTTGATTTGAAATGCTTATTACAGGTTGGAAATGCAGAGCATTCTTTTAAATGTTTTGGTTCTGGGGGTTATTAGATTTAAACTATTTATTGTGAAACACCTAAACCCAAATAAAAATGAATGCATGAGGGGTGTGCAAGGAACTAGTGCATATTCCAGATAATGAGCATACTCAACTTTTAAGGGTAAAGAAGCCACTTGAGTAGATTTAAATTGACTGTATGCTTGTTGACTGCTGCATTGTTCTTCTAGTGTGACAGGCCATGGTAAAGTGGTACAGCATGTCAAGATTTGAATTTAATTCTGGAAATAAAAATACAGTATCATTCTACTGAGATCCAAGCACAGTGTTTTTGGGGAGGGCAAGGAACAGGTATACAAGCTGGTCACTTAATGTGGATTTGTATAGGAAGAGAGCTGTTCGATAACTCTATACTAGATTTGTTAAATATGGTACACTTCTCCAACCTGCTCCCGCAGACAAAATCTTTAGTGACCCTGAAGTGGCTGGGGAGAATAATCTCTTAGTGCTCCCATTTGTGGTCTGTGTATATACATTTTAATACTACATCCATGGATTTTATATTAGGTTTTTTTCAATTCTCTACTTATGCTTTTTATTTCACCTTGTCTGTACCTTCTTTATACTTCTGAGGACTGTTTGAAGATACAGTGAGACTCGAAAGGCGTCCTTTGACAAGAGGAAATAATGAGTTCGCTCTTAAATGTGTTCAGTTCATGGTATTTTATAATTAGTTGTGTGAACTTTCAGTGTTTAAAAAAAGGAAATAGGAAATGGCAATTACACAGAACTTTCACTCTTCAATCATGTATATACTGCATTTCTATTGTTACTTACAGCTTTAAAGAGCCTCTCTGGAGGGCTGTGTATTAATTAATTCATCTTATTTAACACTTCATTATGAAGTGTATACAATTAATTGACAACGTATAGACATAACGATCCGGTTAATAGAAATACAGTTCCTGAGAGCTGAGACTAGTTTCCTTTCAAAGTTTTACGCTTGGTTTTGATTATTCTTTTCAAGTTCACTAATGATATGTATTTATCTGCCACTTGATCTTCGAAGGCAAAATTGAAATCCAGTTTGTGAGCAAGATAATGAAAATCTATACATAGCTCTTCTACTCCTGTGCAATTAAACAAACAGAAATGTGCTAGTCTTAATTGTTGCATGTTTGGTACTGCTAAGCTGTTCATAACAGGGTGGGTTTATAAAGAAAATTAAACAAACAAAACCAAAATACCCCCAACCCCCCCCGCCCCCCAAACAGCAGCACCAAAACCACAAACAAAAAACCCTGTTCTTCTGTCTTTCATTAAATATGAAATGTGTTTAAACATGCTTAAATAATGCACATAGCTAAACTGTTCAGTGATCTTGATTTGAAACCTGCTGTAATGGTTGGGCTGGGGGAATGGTGGGTCTAAGCTGGTTTGTTTCCCTAAGGCTAGCAATTTTTGTGCAAATGTTTTGAGGGTCAGTGTTAGCCTCTATGTGCTGACTTACTTGCTTAGAGAGCTTGTTGGGAGAATAAGTCATAGTTGTTCAGTCATCTGTCACGTGTTTAAATGCATTGGTTTTGATGGTACGACAAGTTTTGAAGTAAATGTAGTTGGGAAATAGGGTTCAAATTGGAAATGATTCCAGTTTAAAAAAAAGGGGGTGGAGAAAGAAGTTTAGCCTGTGTCAGTAGATACGTTTTATCTTAGTCTGGTAAGTTCAGATGTGAGGTGGTTGGACAGTGCTAAGTGTGGAGGCCTTGGGGCCTTTGTGGCTTAGGTGCAGAGATAAGAGTGCTTTTGCTTCCGGGAGAGGAGCCTAAATGCAACCCAACTACTTAGGCAGGCCAAGTTTGCTAATCCTGGCTTAGGCTTGGTCACACCAGAAACCCTAAATGTGATTCGTCATTATCTGAAGACTATCATGAGACACAGCAGGATGCCCGAAATATGCTTAACCCCAAAGGAAAGCAATCCCAATTCTGCCCTTGGGTCATGCTTGAAGTCCCGTGAGGCCAGTGGAGAGAGAAGGTAACGGGGCAGCTGTGTGCCCCGGTTTGGTTTCTTATGTTTGGTGCCAGGTCTTTGGTCTTCCCAAGCGTTCAATATTCTACATCTCTCTGAAATAATAGGATCAGGAATAGAATTTGGCTGAAGGCTGTGACTCTGCTCTTTTTATTTAGATCTCCAAAACAGGTCTTTAATTCATCTTGCTAGTAAGTGGCACAACATTCTCTGTTAGTTTAGTACATCTCTACAGAGGTACCACCATTGTAGTTTTTTTGTCTAACATGTGTCTAGTATTTCCCCTAACTGTGGTTTGTGAATATAGAAGTATCATTTTCATAACATTACATGTGTGCTGTAAGAACTGGGCTTCTCTTGAGGAAATGCTAAGACACACAGGAAATTTATTTTAGTTGTAATACGTGATATTGTTTGTATGCAACTGTCCCATGTTTGCCTTTGAGATACGTTTCTTACCATTATATAAAACAAAGGCGACTGTCTTTCAACTGTATGTATCAAAACCAAGTACACCTAACATGGGAGTTAGTTTGTAATACAATTGTTGGCTTTTTTCCACATAAGCCTTATTCTTAAAGTATATGGCTTATTTCTTAAGTAATCTCTATGCATATGATATGCATATGAACTTAACTTATATTCACAGTAGTTCATGCATTTGTGAAAGATCTTAAGGACACTTTTTTCCACAAGCGAAGCCTTTTTCTATTTTGTATTTTTTGCCTTTTCTGTTCTGTAATGAGTTACTTTGTGTGACAGGTGGGAGATTCAAGAAAGAGATAGTAGTTGATGGACAAAGCTATCTGCTGCTGATTAGAGATGAAGGGGGCCCTCCAGAGGCACAGGTGAGCATTGCATATATAGAGTTTTATCAGCCTGCCGTCACGGTTTCTTTCTTTTAAAAAAAAACTTCCTTTAAGAGAACTGGCTTTGTTTTGTTCTTTCCTGGGTCCTGCTCATCTTTCTGCAGGGAAAAAGTATATGTCGCCCTCAGGTGAAAAATACTCTGTTTAGAAATTATTTGGGATTTCAATTACATTGTGAAACTGTAATGAAGATATATGGCTAGCTTATATTGAATGCCGAATTAGTATGCTTCCAGTGACCACAAAATTACATGTTATTAAGATTTCTTCTGAATTAGAATCTCTAAATCGTTAAAATACAAAGTAGATGTATGCACAGTGACACACATAGTTGTGTACAGATCTTTGCATTCCCTATTGCTTCCATGTTTTGCTCCCTGTGCTGTTCAAGACTCAGCTTTGCAAGCTCCAGGTCAGCACCACTGAGTTCTTGGATTTCTGACTTGGTTTCTGTATACGGTGTATTACCTCCTTGTCTCATAGAGGGTGACTCATTGGCATTTGCCTTTGAGAAGACACTTGTGGTTTTGTGTGCTTAACTCTGTTGCTCTATTTTGAGTGAAGTGAAGCATTTGCTTATGTGATGCTTAAATCACCGCAGCCTCTGCCAGCCTGTCTGTAGGCAGTGTCCTTGTCTTCAGGCATCCTCCTAGTCTCCCCTCTACCTTTTCTTACCTGGGCGCTCGCGGGGTTTCTCAAGTGTGTTGGCTGCTGCTGGCCTTGCTTTGCTCGGCTGTTCAGTGGTGGATCAGCTTAAAAAAAAAAAAAAAATCTAGCAGCAGGAACTGTGCTATTGCCAAACAGCTGAACGGGAGTGGTGCCAGCAGCAGCAGCTTGTGTTTCAATGCTCCACTATTGCTCATTAGCTGCAGTAGGATTAGAGCATGGGAGAAGGTGCCCGGACAAAGGAGAAGAGAAAGGAGGTGGAGGAAGTGGAGACCAAGAGAGACATCCTGGAAGGAAGTTAAAATAAAAACAAAAAATTAGTGTCACTGACACATCTGCAGCCATGTGAGGCATGAGCCTGAAAGAAGTGCTCTGTTTGAGGCTGTGAATAATTTGGCTGAAGTACACAACAGTTTCCAAGCCCCGATGCTTAGAGAACATTCCCTCATATAAAACCATAAATACGGTAGTTGTAAAGGTATGCAACTTCAGCAATCTAAATATTTTTGTACCCCAAGAATTGGTTTTGCAGAGTTCATTTGCACTAACTGCAAACTAATAAACAGACACGGTGTTTTACTTTTGATCCATGCTAGGTAAATTTGGGGGTTTTAATTACTATTGTGGCTGAGGTTTGTTCTTCAGCAAATAACGAGTATGGAAAGGTTTAAGGTGTTAGTGCTATTTCACCTCTCAGAAAATGTGTTTCACATGTAAATTATCTTGGGATTTTTTTGGTATAACTTCAAGTTGCGTGTATATTAAAGACCTTTAATGTGTTTATTAATTCCTGGAATAAAAACTTTACTTCTGGGTTCATGAATATTTGTATCTGTGTAATGAAAATGGAACATTATCAGGAGAAAAATGTTTACCTCCCACTATGTATGATATAGAAAGGGTTGGTAATTTAGCCTTAAGGTTTTGCTTTTTGCAACAGTACAGTATATTTCTGTGGATAGTTAGGATAGAAGTAAGTAATGAGATGAACTGCGGTCTTCCTGGCACTCAGCGGCACAGGGTTGGGGAGAGTTCCCCGGGTGATGGCTTCTGTGCTTCAGTGCAAAGGCTGCAGCTCAGGTCTCAGTCTCCCCGTGGTTTTTTTTTTTGGCAGGAAGGGAGGGAAAACAAACTCACCTGAATGCTCGCTTTCTGGATCTATGATCTCTCGTCCAACATAAGATTGTTGAAAGATGAAAATAATTTAAAAAAAAAAAAAGCTCATTTTGTAGAATGAGAGGTGGTGAGGTGCACTAGCTGATGCTGCTTCAGTTTGTGAATATTGACCATTTCTTTTGCTCACCAGGTTTGATTTTACTCTTGCTGTTATCTATTACAAATGTAGTGGCCTCCTATTGTAAAGCCCGATTAACATAGCAACTGAACTATAACAAGCTGTCACATGCTATTTTTTTTTGAAATTTAGAACTTTTTTTATAATTTGGTTTTGTTTGGTCTTACCTTGAACTAACAGATCTGCTCAATCACAGTAGTAAGTCTGAAGATGGATTTGTGTATCAGCAGCTGTGCTATCCTTCTTATTTTAAGCCATTCCCTGCACAGTGGTGTGGATAAGACATGCTGGGTTTCCAGACCTTGTGTGTGTTTTCCACAATTCCTTGGTTTTTAATATCACAGGTCTGATATCCACAAAACTTAAACTTATTTTAATATAAAAAGAGAAATAAGGAATTACTGGAAATATTTTGTGTCTGGAGGAACTGCATTGAATAACCAACCTCTGGATTTTTTTTAATAATCTTCATTAGAGGGCTGCTGCTACACACTGATGGAACATTAAGAAAATTTAGAGAGACTGTTAGCTTCCAAACTGATGCTTTAAGGATGTTGTAGCTGTAAGGAAGAGTTCTTGGCACGACGCTGCTGAGTCCAGTCAGCGAGAACCACTGTATAATGAGAACCAAAACCAAGTCCACAGTAATGACGCTGTCTCTGGTTCCTTTGATTAGATCTTCTGGTTTGAATAGTTCAAAGTTAACAGTGTGGTAGTTGACCTTATTCTGGCAGTAACTATGCTGTGTGTAGATAATCCTATCCTTAACATCTAGATGATTGTCCTCCTGACTGTCTTGAAAACCTCAAAACATTTTTGGCTATTTTTACACTGTAACCATGAGAGACGTGTTTGGTTTCAAGTACAATACAGTCATGAATATGCACATTAACTTAAATTATTAGCTAATATGCCCTATGAAAAATAGGCAAGAAGTACTGCTAGTTCCTGCTTCTGAAAAAGGAAAATTTAATGAGCTCAGCAACTTCAGTATGTGAAGAGCTTTCCAGATTCATACTGTCGGCTCTTTTTTCTTCCCTTTGCGTATGCCAGCTTGGGATGCCTTACTAAAAGCTGAGATCGTGTGAATCTACAAACTGGTGATTGAAGCAGTTTAAATACTGTAAGAGCAGAAACAAAACTGCAAGAGTTGGTAGGGCTGAAGTAAGTGCTTACAAACCTAGGCTAGTCTTATAAAATTCAGCAAAACGTATATAAATGTTTCCTAAATGAACCTCCTTGCAGTTCTCTATGTTCAGTGTGTCCCCAATCTACCTGGCATATTGTAGTAGTAATGTAATGAAAAGCATGAATACCAGTGGCTGAAACTTGTTTCCATTGGTCTAAATTTGGGTAGGAATGGAGTCACTTAGGGAAAAATAAAGGCAGTGAGGTAAGCTTAACTTAATTCTTTTTTTGATGTCCTGTATATGTTTACTGTTTAATGTGTTTCAACAATCTTATTTCACTCATGAGCTAAAACTTTTTCACTTGCATGGTCACTTAAGCAGCACCTTGCCTTGGCCTGTGTATGCATATGTCTTGTAGTGGTTTCCTGATGCCAAGAGGGAATAGTTTGCTTTCACACTGAAAGCTGAACAAGGCATTCGGTACTGTTTGCTCAATTAAGAGTGTCTGTATAGTGAAGAATTGGAAATCTGAAATTAATGTTTTTTGACATTGATCAAGATGTGAGAATTACTAGCAATGCTTGTAAAACCACAACCGTAATATTTGTCCTGGCATTAACAAACATTAGCATGCATGTAAAGCACAGGATGGGGAAATAACACACTAAATGGGGCACTCAAGTGCCTAGAGATAAGTGTTATTCATTTAAAATTCACAAATTCAGAAATCTGAGGCTGTGACGTTTTCTTCTTCTGTGAAACAAAACCAGTGTGCACTGATAGTAGTTGGGCTTGTAATGTCATATACCAGTAAAGAAGAGATGCAGTTGTGAGTGTGGGGAAAAACCTTTGCGTATCCCAGATCCCCATCACTTGCAGAGTGATGAATGTTGATTCATCATTTTAGAAATGATATGCCACTTTTAAGTCCTTGGTTATTGTCACTAACACAGTTTCTCTGATGCGTCTTTTCCTCCAAGTAAGGTAGGAATGTTTATTTTTTCCTTTTATCCTCTTCACTGCTTTCCTCACAGTATGCCTTTCCCATTTTTATTCTGCAGTTTGCCATGTGGGTGGATGCTGTTATATTTGTCTTCAGCTTGGAAGATGAAATTAGTTTCCAGACTGTTTACCACTACTACAGCCGTATGGCTAACTATCGTAACACTAGTGAAATTCCAATGGTACTAGTGGGAACCCAGGGTAAGTACAGTCTTGACTTACGAGTATTTCTGTGACTGTATAGACTGTTCCAAGCTGGCAAAGCCATGTCCTGTCTTTTCCCCTCTCTTGCATCAGCACTGCCACTCATCTGATGAGAGCTTGTGGATAAACTGGCGGTTAATCAGCAGGGTGGTGTTCTGCCGTTTGGGCTTCCTTGGCTGGCTTGCTAGAGGGCTGTGGCATTGCGAGGACTGGTTTGAGATGGGAGACAAATGTCCATGCAGCACCCTGGGAGAGGGAGTGTAGGACTTTTAAAAAAATATTTCCAGTGCTTGCCAGTCGTGGTTGTTTTCTTGATCAGCAGGGAGATGCTACTGTTAAATTTGGGCAGGTGAACCAGTTGTGTAACAAAGTTCTGAAGTGAGACCGATTTCCTTTAGCTTGGCAGTCTAGAAGTGATCAATACCTTGGCATTCCTAGGAGGCAGGTGGATCAGGATCGAAAGCCTTCAACACTGTGTTAAGAAACAGAACTGAACTGTGCCCTTGTGCAATCTCTCAGGTATACCATTCTTCAAACCAAATGGAAATGTAGCTTTTAGCCTCCTGAAACAACCCGCCACCATTCTGTTTTTCCAAAACCTCTTCTGGAGCAGCAGCTAGCCGCAGCTGTCCTATGGGTAAATGTGGCAAGGGAAAGGTACCAGCAACATTTCAGTTTCTTTTGCATCTGAGCTGTCTTCTGGATATCCCCTGCCTTGTTTTGCCAGCACATCACATTAATGTTTCAGCGGTTTCCCATACTGTGGAGTATGGAGTACACACACAAGAGTTGTGGCTGCTCTGCACCTAGCTACGTAGATGTCCCTCCTGTGATAATTCTTTCCAAAAATGAGGAGTTCCTGTGGGGATGTTGGACTTCAGAGCTCTTACTTCAGAGATGCTGTTTTCGAAGCATAGTACAGACATTTTTGTGAGTTCCTTCATACTGAAGCATTGCTTTCAATATATTGTCAGGTTAGTGCACTGTGTTAGAGGGAGAACGCAAGTGTCACAAGTTGCTCTTGTAGATTTGATTTTGGGCATATTCCCTTTTAGTGTATGCTACCGGTTTTGGTGATGTCAAAGCTTTTCATTGCTTTTTCAGCTTATTCTTTTGTCAGCCTTGTGGCCTGAGAGCAATTTGTTTTCCCGTGCATGCCTGCAGAGCTGTGCCACCAGCGCTGCCACGTGAAGGCAGGGGAAGTGTGGGCAGCACGGAAGGAGGAATTGAGGCTGGACTTTAGGCGGAAACAGATGATGAAAAATGAAAGGGGAAGTAGATACACAAAAAGTCCTAGGATAGCAGAAACTACAGCCAAAAAGCAGAAATGAACTGCTTTGAAGGGCAACGCTGTCAGCTTAAAACCAGAGTTGAAAAAGGAGAGGGGAAACGTTTCCCTGAGGTGTTTTTTCTTTCTGCATTTCTGACACTTTGGGGTATGATTTTCCATCTCATTCCCATTATTACCAGAAAGGAATTTGGTTTTTCAAAGTTCATTTTCCATCGCAGCACTGATGGAAAGGGGATTTTAAAAATGTGACTAATGATAGAAATACTGCTAATTCTGGGAGTAAGCATTAGAAGAAAATACAGCTTTTTGGCTACATTGACTGGCAAACAATGCAGTGAAATGAAATATATGAAATAATACCTGTTAAAAATATATTTGAAATACACCTGTTTGACATCCAGCTTGTTGGTTTTGACTGGTATTCTTGAAATGAGCCATGAAATGAAATCTCTCCCAAAATGTTAGCACTTGCCTGATGCTTCCAGATGTTCTCCTCTGCCTTGTTGTTCTGTGGTGGGCCAGGCTGTAGCACTGAATTTGCTTCAGAAGTCAAACTTTTCGAAGCCGTGGTGTTGCTTATCAATTTCTTTCTGGTTAAATGTTTTCAGCGCCCTCTGCTGATTAAAAAAAATCTGCTGTTAGCTTTCCAAATAACTGCTCTGTTTTTATTAATTAGGCCTCATGAGAAGGTAGCGATAACATCAGTTGAGATATGGTCATGTCATGCCTAGAACCGAGCCTCAAATACAGCATTGCAATAGTCACTGACTTCATGCTCACGTTAAAGTGATGCTTTTTTTCCCAAAGAATGAATGTAGTTTTGCTGCCACAGAAAGTAGCAGATTTTTAGGAAAACTTTCTGAGCAGCTTTAAATGCTGAAATCAGTGCCTGCTGTGGTGGTGAGGTGGTAGCTGCAGAGTTTTGTAGAATAGGTAGTACTACTGTCTCGCCTTAAGACTTTTTTTGCCAGAGCTAAGAATTACCATGATACTCGTGGGAAAAAAAAAGTTGCTTTTTAGGATTTGTTCATAGCATTATCACTTTATAAATAGTCAAGCGGTACAACCTTTGTAGAGTTCTTCGCTATGATGGAGTAGCAATGAAGAAACTTCTTCATCTGTTAGCAAGGTGGTTATTTTTTTTCTGGTGTAACTTTTTTTTTCAGCTCCTATGGATAACCTCTAGAAATTGGAGTTAAAGCATGCATGAAAAGTAGCTCTTGCAGAGAGGTACAAAGTATTCTTACTTATTTAGGAAAATATCATTTTTATTGGCTTTGCAGTACATTCACACAATGTCTCATGGGTGCCTTTACATCAAGGTTTGAGACTCAAAGTCATTTACGGTAAGTTTCCTGGATCCAGTCTTGGCTGTGAATTGGGAGCCAGGACAACAGTGCAACCTCTGACTATGTGAAAAATCTCAGTTTCATGTTAAACTGGCAAGTGTCTGCCTCGGCTGAGGCGTAGTGTGTGCCGCGGGTTCAGAGTTGGGGTTTAGCAAAGTGCTTTGCTTCCAGCCCGGCCTTGCTAGCACACTGTTGGCTCTCTGTGCCTGAGCAAAATGCAGAGAGAACTAGCCTAATAAATAGGAAGGAACAAAAATAAGCTGACAGGGCAGAGTTAAATGAGGAACTGAGGGAAGAACTGGACTCTGTGTTTTTAGCAACATGATAATGGCAGTCCTGTACAGCTTTGTTATTTCTTACCTGCCATCATGATTTTTTCCCCAGTTGTTTTAGTATGGGCTGGGTTTTTTTAAAAGAAAAGCATCTCTTCTGTGCAAATCTAACACTTATCCCCGGTGTTGCAGTAATACCTGGTACCGTTTCTCCCCCAATCCCATTGTTTCTCTACTGAAAATGTTCTTGTCCTTAGAAACGTGTCATGTTTTGTGCTTCACACTCTACAGGTGAAGGTTACTTGTAAGCCAGTGCTGATATTTATAGGAGGCCTAAAAATCATTTGACGTGTTTATCATCATCAATCACCCACTTGTTTCTTTAAGTATGTTTTACGTCAGAGCTCATATTCTTTCATGTGATTGTGTATTTTTTGCAACTTGTGACCTAAATATATATTTAAGTTAACCAAAAAGCATTTGAAGTTTTTCCTGGTTTTTAGAATCAATTGATGTGCTCGTGACAAAGTATGAGATTAGTGATGTGCACTCCTGTTGTTTTCTAAAAATTCTAAGTGTCTCATGGTTTGTACTTAAATTGACTGCTTGGGTACTGATAATTGTAAGGTGATGTTTTCAAATTATATTTAAATATTTAATTTTTTTTCTCTGCTGTTGCTGTAGATGCTATAAGTTCCAGTAATCCACGTGTCATAGATGATGCCAGAGCGAGGAAGTTATCGAATGATCTCAAGAGATGCACTTACTATGAAACCTGTGCTACTTACGGACTCAATGTGGAGAGAGTGTTCCAAGATGGTAAAGATTACTTTTTTCATCCAGCATATCGTGCAATACTGTAGCTGTTTTTTTTTAAATAAGCACCGATGTCTGATAGCTCAGGTACTTGACTGTTTTGCAAGTATTCATCCTGTGCTACACGGACTCAATGTGGAGAGAGTGTTCCAAGATGGTAAAGATTACTTTTTTCATCCAGCATATCACTGTAGCTGTTTTTTTTTAAATAAGCACCGATGTCTGATGTCTGATGTACTTGACTGTTTTGCAAGTATTCATTAACATTTAGTTAAAGAAAATGCTCATTTTTAGGGATTTGTTTTGTTATATTATCTTAAGTGAAGTAGAGGGCTCCTTATGCTGAACACAGCACATGTACACTGTTGTATTCTCTACCAGCACCTTTAGTCTTAAGCATCGTAAGCTATTTTCAGTCTTTATTTATTCTTCAGTTTTCTTTGGTGCTTGCTTTGTTTTAGCAAAGTTTTCTTTGTTTTGATTTAGTGCTCATGGGGATGTTGAGAGGCTATTTGTGCAAAGTAGTTGAAAATTGTCTTGCACATTTGAGAAAGTGAGAATAAATTGAAAAAATTGATAGGAATAGGGTAATCATGAGAAGTAACTCATGGCGTTCATGGAGTCTTAGAAGTTGACAGTTTTGTGTAGGGGTTTAGAAGTAAAGCTGGCTGCTTAAGGGTGATTTAAAACATCATTAGCAGCAATGTTCTAGTTTGCCTTGTAGGAGGTATTTGGGATCATTGTGTACCATCTCAAAAAAAGGAATAACAAAAGTGCTTTCTGACCATCTGTAACTATTTTGGAACAGTTACCCCTTGGAAGAACTTCTGTGGCTGGAGAAGCGAGGCTGAACTTGGTCTTTGCTGTATGAGATGGGCTTTGTGCACCCTCTAGTGGAAATTCAGCCAGGTGTCTTGGGCTTTGCTGTCTTCTAGCCATAGTTGTCTAGTGGCCGAACGTGTCGGCCCTTCATCACAGCAGTTCTTCTGTGTGTAAAAACCTTCTTAATTATGTTGAAATACTTCTCAGAGCTCCTTAGTTCTGTTTTTTTTTTTGTTGTCAGCTTTTCATTGCAAAGACCTGTGCCATCTGTGGTTATGTGAGACAGTGTCACATCAGTATGTATCAGAAATGAGTACAAAGACAGCTAAAATAAAAAAAAAAGAAAGCAAAACATTCAAATTTTTAAATGGAAAATACTGACGTCCAGTGCACTGTTTAATTCCAAATAAGGGTATTTTTACCCATCTTGTTGATAGGATTTCAGACAAAAGCATTTAAAGCTGTATCTTCGTGCTTTGCTCACTGTTTTTGCTTGAACTAGTTGCAGAAATTACTGTTTTCACTACTTAGATTTTCTATGTTGAATATGAGTTTCAAGGAACCATTAGGGTTTTTTGTTAGTACATTTATTTTTGAGTGCTAGCTATAGTTAGATTTTTAATTATGTATTCCATGTCGTGCTGTTTGTGGATCTTTGTACAGTCTACTTCCCTGCGGTCTGTGTGTGTGTGTGTGTGTGTCCCCGAGAGAGAAGTCTCTTGGCAAAAAGCTAGTCTGTAAGCTTCCAGGAAGCTTGTCTCTCTGCTAAATTTCAGTAGTAAGTAGAAAGAATTGACAAACATCATGTGTTTAAGAAATATCAAGCTTTGTTTTACCTACATGGCTGTCAACCAACTATTTAATATTTGCCAACTAATAGGATTAGGAATGCTTCTCTATAAATGTGTTACAGTTGCCAGACTGGGACCAAATCCAATTCCTGATAATTTTTGCTGTTTGTTTCAGCAGGAAACAAAGCAACTTCTTAACCCCATTGAATGAGGGGTTTGTGTTTATTTCCACTGGCTGTTCCCCTGCGCTGTGTGTGTGTGTGTGTGTGTGTGTGTGTCCCCGAGAGAGAAGTCTCTTGGCAAAAAGCTAGTCTGTAAGCTTCCAGGAAGCTTGTCTCTCTGCTAAATTTCAGTAGTAAGTAGAAAGAATTGACAAACATCATGTGTTTAAGAAATATCAAGCTTTGTTTTACCTACATGGCTGTCAACCAACTATTTAATATTTGCCAACTAATAGGATTAGGAATGCTTCTCTATAAATGTGTTGAGAAGTCTCTTGGCAAAAAGCTAGTCTGTAAGCTTCCAGGAAGCTTGTCTCTCTGCTAAATTTCAGTAGTAAGTAGAAAGAATTGACAAACATCATGTGTTTAAGAAATATCAAGCTTTGTTTTACCTACATGGCTGTCAACCAACTATTTAATATTTGCCAACTAATAGGATTAGGAATGCTTCTCTATAAATGTGTTACAGTTGCCAGACTGGGACCAAATCCAATTCCTGATAATTTTTGCTGTTTGTTTCAGCAGGAAACAAAGCAACTTCTTAACCCCATTGAATGAGGGGGCGTGAATGAACAGTGCAAGTTAGGGAGCACTTGTTTAAATGACTTGGTTTGTGCAACTCTAGGACGTTCAGGTTCAATATAGGCTTAACAATGTTTTTTAGTGGCTTCTTCAGGGGGTTCATGTAGTCTATAATGCAGACCTTTGAAAGGCAAGGGGTAGAAGTGCAGAAGTTTGAAGACAACTTCTAAATTATCTTTCCTCTAGAAAAAGGATGTTAAATATCATTGTAATGTACATCAGCAGTCTGACTTACTGGGAGATAGGTGGTACGTTGGGGAGGGCTGTCACTTGGCACCAGCTGGTGCTGTAGGTGCTGGCTATTATCACCATTGCTTTAATGACCATTAATACTGTGAAAGCTTTTGACTAATGGCAATAACTTCATGGTTTTTTTACTTTTGGGCAAAGAACAGGTTACATCTTTGGTGAAATTGCATTCAATAGGAAATAAAAGGTAGTATGATGAAATGTACACTGGTTTTACACACACACTCTCTCCAGTTTTTGATCCAACTTCATTGTATGGTGATAGGCATGGGATATAAAATGTACACAACCACACCTGATGTGATTTAGTAAAATTCCCCACAGTGGCTTGTGACTTGACATCCCTGCCACATCAACTATAGAACATTTCAGTGCTCTGTGAGTCTCACTGTGTGCAGCTAGTCTGTTACCTTGCTGGCTTCTGCTTAGTATCGCGTCTTCTCTGAAGCTGCTGTTAAACTGGAGTGGCTCTTCCTCATCTTATACTAAAGGAATTGGGCCCCTCTTCAACAAGGGAACCAAATATCTGCCTGGTTGCATGACTTGGACTTCATAACTGTGGTTTATTCATATTTTTTTTTTTTTTTTTTTTTTTTTTTTTTTTTTTTTTTTTTTTTTTTTTTTTTTTTTTTTTTTTTTTTTTTTTTTTTTTTTTTTTTTTAAAATGCAAGTGAATTCTAAAATGCAAGTGAATTCTGCAATACAACCTTTTGAGGAACTGCCTGTTCGGTCCCCCTCAAGGGACTTTTGAGCCCTGTTTGCTCAAAAGCAAGCAACACACAGCACTGGTTAATAAATTCTCTTTGTGTTCAGATCCTCTCCAGAATAAATGGAGCGAATTATCCAATATCAGAAAGCCTAGTCTGACTTTAAAAAACACTTCTTGAGGTAAATATTGTCAATGAACAAGGAGAAGAAGGGATGCGGGGAGGAGGGACAGGCTAAGCAGTTCTTCGCCCAGTACATTCTTAAGCATTTCTTATTATTTTGCGGAAACCCCAAGTTAGTGTCAGCAGCTTTCATAAATTAACTGTGTTTTTCAGCAAACTTGAAAGGGGTAGTATAGACCAATTATTGCATTACAAAAATGTTCATTAGTAGATGAATGGACAAGACAGGTTTTCTTACTGTTTGTAGCTGAGGAAAAATAGTTGTTGACAAATTAGTAGCTGTATACAAGACATGGAGCTACTATACCAATTAAGACTGCTTTCTGTGTATTGTTTCTAGACTTTGCTCCCAGCTGGATGGATATCCGTTCTTGGAATTTAGGTATAGGATTTAATCATTAATTATTATATTCTGGGGTAGGTTTTGCTCCATGTTTAGATGCTCCAAGTGTTTGCTTTGGTATTTCTGTAAGGGTATTTCAGTATGTTGACCAAGGTCCCACAGCTTTTGCTGGCTTGTAACTTTGATGAACGCTTCACTTCCTTTATGTTTTTTAGGATACTGTTGATTGGTATGGATTCTTTTTTTGAAAATTTGGATATTGTAGGAGATGCAATGGGGGAGGTTGGGTTTGGTTTAGTCATGTTAGCTTTAGTGCTCTCACTTTGCACGCAACAAGTCCTATTTTAATCAAGCCAAACACTATGCAATGGTTTACATCAGCTGTGATTTACATACATAATTGTGGTCCAAATGCACCCTGTTCTTCTCCCCCTTCTGTTTTTCAGGAACTTTGAATTGCCAGTGAGTTGGTAAATCTGAAACTGTCTGTAAACTTGCATTATCCAAACCCCTGTTACCAGTCCAAGTTACAGCAGGCTTTTCTTTTAACATACCAGTTACTAGTTTTGTTACAAAAGGCGCTGTTTTACAAGCCTTCTCTAAAAATCTATTTTCTTGTTTCTGTTTTCTGCCTTGATGTGATGTAGACCTACCATTTGGATGAAGAAATTTGAAATGCCATTGAAGGGTTTTTACTCCTTCATTGCACACACATTAGAAACTAAATTTCTGATTTTTCCCCTGCAAGCATCCACTGAACTCTCTTAGTGGTCATCTATTATGACTTTTGTCTATTATAACTAATTTCCTATTTGCCCCTCAGTTGAGTGGTAGAATAATTTAACTTGAATGATTATTATTATGAAAATGCTACTTTATTCTTTAGTTAAATCCAAATACATTGTTTACAATGCTTCATTACATTGATAAGCTCACTGTTAATTGTAACAGAGTATAGAAACATTTAGGTTGGAAAAGACCTTTGAGATCATCAAGTCCATAGGTTCATACTTTTGTAATACGAACACTGCTTTACAATAATATTTCACTTCTGTCTGCAGAAACTTTATGAAGGCTGATGTGTAGTTAATGTACATCTATGTAT